GATTTTTATTTTATTTATACTTATGAGTTAATAAAACTATCTATTGTTGATTGTTTCTTCTTTGACATATAATAAGTCCACAATTGACTTTGTACTTTACGCAATTCTAATATCATTTTAACATCAGAAGTAAAATCCTCAAGAGGATTTATCAAAAATTCTATTGCATTACTAACATCCCCTAACACTTCTTTAACCAATACAATAGGTCGAACTGTTATTTCGTTATTAACTTCTTTGAATTCTTTATTAGAAGGGCATACCATTTCCACAATTTCTTCATCTGTTAGACCTCCTCCAGTCATTACATTATCATCAACATTAATATATTCTTCTGCCATCATTGGTTCTTTAAAGTCTAGTTTATCAATTAATAGTTGAATACTCTCAATATCTGATTTGATTTCTGCTGACAGTTCTCCAGAATCTGATTCGATTTCTGCTGACAATTCTCTTGAATCTGATAGAATACCAGTTTTATGCCAACAATTTTTAATTGTATCTTTCTTAACTAATTTTCATGCTTCGACACAAAAATTAATTGCATCCAAAATGTTAACTGGTGTAATGGTTGTTTGAAGTTTGATAGATCATTCGTATGCATCAATTCCATTTCTCACTAATAATTGTCGATATTGTGCCTAAATACAAATTAATTAAGTTAGTTTATATTTAAATTAATAACAATAATTAAATTAACATTACTTTGAAAGAATAGATTATGCCCGCATCGCATGGCTGCAGATGTGCAGTCGTATTAGGTGGCAAATAATGAAGCTTAATATTTGTTAGATTTTCGATATTCGAAATTACATGTGTCGGAGCATTATCAATTAAAAGCAGAATGTTACAATTGTGTCTTCTTATTAAACTATTAAGATTTTTAAGATAATCATTAAAAATGCTAGTTTGCATCTAGGCTGTGGAATTCCAATAATATTCAACTGCTAGAGAGTTTTTATCAATTCCACGAAGTGGGCAAGGAGTTTTATGCTTGTGAATAAACAATAAAGGAAGTTTCTTGGTTCCTGATGCATTACACGTCAACAGAATTGTCACACGATTTTTAGACTTTTTGGTACCTTTTAATGGTTTTGTTGCCAAACTTCGATCAGGTTTCAATTACCAATATAATGCTACACAATAAAATCTGTAAATAATAGCTGGTAAGAATAAATTAATATAAATACTTACCAGTTTCGTCGCAATTGAATATGTCTTGGTGATCCTAATTACTTATTATATCATGCAACTTTGCACATTCTTCTTCAAGACTTTCTTGAGGAGCACGGTCCCCTTCACCAGATTTTAAGTATGACTGTACATTATAACGATGTTTAAAACCTGAGATTTAGTCAGCTGATCCCGTAAAATGATTAATGTCAAAGTGAACAGCAAAATCCTTTGCTTTCTGCTTAAGAACATCAATAGTGATAGTAATATGGCTGTTAACTGCTATATTAAGCCAGATAGCTAATGCAGATTCAATTTGGGGATAGAATAAGGGTTGGATTTTCTTTTTCTTAGATAAAGGTGTATCATCATCGATAGAAAGCCATTTATCTTAAAATTTATTATATAGATAAACTCTTTCTTGATCGTACCAAAACTACCAAATTAGGAAATACCCAAGAAAACAAAATTTCGTCTCAAGGGAAAAACAAGGAAAAGGGAGACCCTCCTCCCAAACCTCCCAATCCAATCATGAATATACTCTTCTTGATATAGTCCTTGCTGATAACAAACAAAGGCTTCCTAAAGTCTCAATAATTTACAAAAA